ATAGTACATTGAATTCTTTCAACTAATTAACCAGTACGGTTTCTTGAATTAGGTGTAGTGATGGGAGAAGAGAAAGCATGCCAGACTTAGCAGGTTTCCAAAATGTTTTTAAAACACCATTTATTTCAGCCAGTGTCCCAAATTTACCAGTTCTGGAACTACAGAAGTCCAATAATACACATCTTAGGGAATTAACATACCATCTTTTTTTTTTTTTTGAGAAGTTTTTGCTATAGGGCACATGCACTCGCCAGAAAGAGAGAGAGAGACAGAAAGACAGAAAGCGAGAAATCCCCCCCCAGAGGGGATGGTCATGATGCAATCCCGTCTCCTCCATTCTCCTCTCGGGATCCTGGGCAAGCACGCACACGTGCCCAGCGAGAGTTTAAGCCACTGGGTCCAAAACTCTAACCGCAGTCAACTACATGGGAGTCCAGCAACATAGCCATTATGCCAACTGCTGGTCCCAACATATCATCTTATTAAAATCCATATTTGGTCTCAGTGTATACTAAGTACGTGTTTATTTTTGATGTTGGTCTTCAGAAGCAGTCACATTCCTACCTATGTTTTTTAAAGGTTTGCCATAGGGCATGTGTGTTAGCTAGAGAAAGACAGAGAGAGACAGTGAGAGGGAAAGTGAGAAATCATTCCCCGGGACCCAAACCATGGTTGGCCATGTGGGAGTCCAATGGCTTAACCACTAGACCACCTGCTGGCCCCCTAAAATACTTTCAATTATATTTATTTTCATTATACCTATTATTTAATCATTTAGTGAAATCATAGATTTGTTCATTTAGAATCACCAAGGAAGTTCATAGTTCTTAAGCAAATTGTCAGTAGTAGTGGCATGCTAGCAGGTTAAGGATACAGGCTGTATATCATTGAGTTGGTTGATATTCTAAAATATCACATGCTATAAGTACATAGCATAGGAAACACACATTGTTCTAGTACTTTTAGCTAGAGCTGCTATAATTACTCCAGAAAAGGTAAGAAAGCTGCCAAGAAATAAGTTGTAAGAATTTGAGCGAATGGAGTCAAGGAAAAATCTAGACAACCTTTCTCATCTGAAGCAAAATCGGAAACTATGTACACAGGTGAAGAAGACATCAGATTACATGTAACTCAGAATTTGAAAGCTTCATATTTGTATAAAACTATTTAAATATAAAATAGTCTCTGAAAGATAAGAAGCAGTGAAAATTCCATTGACTAAGGTAGAGGGAAAAAATCACAATCTGTGAATTTTACAACCTCTAATTGTCCATTTCAGAATTGTAAACTTGGAAAGATCTATCATCTCACAAATGGAATACTTCATTCATTCTGTCTTGTTCTCTTTGCAAATCATTGACTATATTTAATTTAAAAAACAAAAACAAAAACAAAAAATACCTCTGCTTTATGTTCTAGTCAAAACTAGCTTCCTCTCTTACGGGCATGCAGGTCAAAGCAGAGTTCAGCTGACAATAGAGATAAAGAGAAGCAGCAGTAAACACCCTAAAATTCCCCAGTTCAAAAAGAAGAAACAAATAAACAAAATATGTTTTCTACTTTAACCATAAAGAAAGAAAAAAAATAAAAGAAGAAGCTCTTTCATTTAAGGCAATAACCTCAGAAAAAAAAAAAAAAGGAGTACCTTAGTTCAAAACAAGGGAATTTAAGTTTGATTCCTACCTGTCAGAAGATCTGAGCGATAAAAGGGCAATTTATTCATAGAGAGGAGCAAAGAAGGCATTTTATGACATTACTACCCGGAATCCATTTGTCACAGAAAAACTTGCACAATTACAACTGAATGAACTAATTGGTAAAGGTCATTCTATTACATAAGTACTATTTAAACAGTATTTACAATACGTATTATGTTCCATGTCCTAGGAAATCTATCCCATGCTGATAGGGCAGACTATCTAAAAGGAATCATCACTGCCTAAAAGGAGAGAAACATCCATTTCAACACCCATGGAAAGACTGACAGCTTCTAAAGAGACCTGTTAACGATGCAAGTATGAACTTGCATGTGTTTGACACAAGCGTTGAGTTAACTAAAGAGTCCATTCTGAACATATTCTGATAACACATAGTTCTAGAGAACTTGGTTATGATGAATTGAAATGGCCACTTAACTAATTCCCAGTTGGGTTTTTTTTTTTTTTTTTTTTTTAATCCTACTTATCTGAAGCCAAAGCCAATAATCCTGAAAGTTCTGAATGGCAGTTAATGCTTCCAGGAACCAAAGTTTACCCATCTGTAGGTGAACCAATTTCCTTTTGGGCTGTGTTTATATTAAAACCATTATGTTAAATGAATATAAAATGGCCCCCTTATATAATTTAAAATAAATAATTAGTTCATTTTCCCCACAGAGATACCCTAATGGTGGGTAGAGAAATAAAGCATTTTAGCAGAGTTAAAAATAAATCAAGCCTCCAGCTAAAAGATCCTTATAAGAAAAAAGTTATATTAAAATTATATGAAGGGGTCAGCAAGTGGCATGTTGATTAAGTTGGCTGGATCCTACATGATCGATTATGCAGTTTGAGTTCTAGATCCAACAGTTTAAAAAATATGACAGGTTTGAGTGCATGCATTCCCAAAATCCTGAGAGGAGAATGGAAGAGAAGGGATTGCAGTGTGACTATATCTTCCGGGGGTGGTTTCTCTCTCTCTCTCTCTCTCTCTTCTTCTTCTTCTTCTTCTTCTCCAAAAAGCCTGTGTATCTTAAAGCAAAATTTATTTATTTATTTATTGATTGATTTATCTGTAAATAAATAAATAAAACAAGTGTTGGTAATTATACTGCAGTGCTGAAATGTACATTCAGACTTAAATATTTTCACCTAGCATAAAAGTAAAATTTCTTAACACTGCAATGTAATCACAGTCCTGCCTTTATTTTTATTATTTTACATGTGAATGAAGTTCTCACAACATTCCTGTCAAGTTACAAATGCTTATTTAAGTGGAAAATTGTCTATAACAAACATTTACCCTTCCCCTCTTATCTATATTGTAATCATCCATACATCATAATAAAGAAGTGCATTTTGGCCTTTCACAATCATCGGTAATTGGCTATATATATATACACACACACATATGAAGGATGTGAGCTTATACCTATTATATTTTAATAAGTTATATCATATATGTTTTTATTTAATTTGCCAGAGGATACATGCAGTCACCAGAAAGACAGAGAGAAAGAGAAGAAAGAAGCACCCTCCAGTATGGCATAGTCATACCACAATCCCTTCTCTTCCACTTTTTCATCCTAATGGGATTTTGGACACTTCCTCCTGTGATCTTGGGCATGTTTTTCAAGCTGCCAGAACTAGAATTCAAAGTACATGGTTGGGCATGTGGGACCCTGTACCCTTAACCACCAGGCCACAGAGGTGGCCCAAAATATATTTAATAAAATACATTCTAATATACTGACAAGTTTTTTCTAATAATCTAAACCTATATTGATCCACAACCATTTAGAGCAAGGGTTGGCAAACTATTGGGGCATCAGGAAAGTCTTGATGTATTTTTGCATAGAAAAACACATCCTTACTTTCTTGACAACCTAATATACCTTGTGGGCAAAATCTATTCCTGTATCCTTTCTTGTATGGCTAACTAGCTAAGATTGGTTTTTACAGATGAACATTTGCATACTATTTGATGATAGAGAATGATGACATTAAGCCCTGACTAAGCAAAATGTTACCCCAAAATAAAGAATTTCATTCTTCCCAATAGATCTATACTCCAAAAAATATATACAATTATTAGCTAAAAGGAATTCCATTCCATTATTATTATTATTATTACAGTTTAAATTTTGTAAAAATTTTGTGGAAATGTTTTGCTGTAAATATATCTGTACAATATCCTTAATTTTATCTCTAGGCATGCAAAACCTAAAATGTTTACTATGTGGCTCTTTACAAAAAGTATGCTGACCCCTGACGTATTTTTAATGAATTCATTCATATTTATATTCACTTGTGTATCCATTCAGCAGTTTCAGAGCAACTCCCATATGCTAGGCACTGTTCTATGAACTGGGAACACTACAGAGAACAAAACTTAAAAGAAATATTGCCCCTATGTAGCTTATGTTCAAATGATCTACATTGTCTCCTCATAATTACTTTTATGGAAAGTTTCATTACACCCATTTTATAGACGGCAGACTGAGGTTCAGAGAACTTAAGTAGCTTGCTGAGTCTCTCAGTCAGAACTGAATTCAATTACACCTTACTCAAGGCTTGAGCCTCTAACTAGTGGACAGTACTGCCTTTATGAGGAGTGAGGAGGAATGATGATTTAATGCTCACTGTCACTATCTTGAAAGCCTTAGTAGTTTTTTAACAAGTTTCATAATACTGAGTATATTTTCATTTTGTACTAGGTCCCACAAATAGCAAAGCTGGTCTTATTCTCTGAGACCACATTCCTTTCTGGGATAATTTTTGTTTTATCTTCCACATAAATTTATATATTTAGAAGCCTTGAAATTTCTCAAGTAGTATAGAAAACATAAACTATTATTAATCAATTGATTTATATTGCAGTCTGCCAAAAGACTAGAAATTTCTTGCGGACTAGTACTCTCTTTCACACTAATTTTTTTTGTAATTCCTTCTGTATTTAAAGTTCTTTTTAGAACACAGTGAGTAAACAATAAGTATTCTCCAACAGGATTAAATTCCATAATACCTGAAATTTATCAAGGATAAAAGTTGGTTTTGACTTGGCTTAATTTTCTTTCATGGAAGGAAGAGCAAAATTTTCAACACTTTCCTGTAATCTTTTTGCATTTGTAAATCTTGAAACGGTATTAGATCCAAGTTAAACAAAAAACAAGATCTGACCTGTTCTGCTATAAGGAAAAACCTTTGTCCAGTAGTTAATGATGAGACATTGACTTCTTTGAAGAAGAGTTTACTGATTTATTAAAATAGATGCTTTGTTTCCTTTCTTTCAATTTTTTGCAGCCTAGTCATTGTTGGATAAGTGAGATGGCAAAACAATTGACAGTCAGCTTGACTCATCTTCTGGACAAGTTTTCAAATATTTCCGAAGGTTTGAGTAATTATTCTATCATACAAAAACTTGTGAAAATAGTGGATGATTTTGTGGAGTGCATGGAGGAAAACACACCTAAGGTAATTTTGTGTTCATTGGGATTATCTTTATCACTCTTGCCCACAGCCTATGCTAACAGGTGGTATAAAGGAACAGGGGTATTTCTATTTGTGTTTTTTAATTTAAAGATCTGTTTAGATGAGCACAGAAAACAAGTGTTGGTAATTATACTGCAGTGCTGAAATGTACATTCAGACTTAAATATTTTCACCTAGCATAAAAGTAAAATTTCTTAACACTGCAATGTAATCACAGTCCTGCCTTTATTTTTATTATTTTACATGTGAATGAAGTTCTCACAACATTCCTGTCAAGTTACAAATGCTTATTTAAGTGGAATATTGTCTATAACAAATATTTATCCTTTCCCTCTTATCTATATTGTAATCATCCATACATCATAATAAAGAAGTGCATTTTGGCCTTTCACAGTTATCGGATAATTGGTTGTCACCAACTTGAGGATATAAGAATGACAGTACTTTGGCTTCCAAGCATAGAAGGAGTAGCAGGGTATCCTAGAAATTAAGAGCGAGATGTTAAGAGTTTAAATTCTGGCTCTGTGACTAAAGTTTTGCAAAACCCAGTTTTACTGTTTCTCTTTATCCTTAAAACAGAGACAATGGCAGAACCTATTTCCTAGAGTTGACATTAGATGATTTGTGATGATTTAACACTTACTGAATGTTATAGGCAGAGTTAAAACCTGTAACATTAAGTATTGACATCATTGTTTAGGGCACTATGTAATAGGATAGAGCTTGGAAGACCTGCTTTGGTATATGGCTCAAATGACAAAGTTCTGACTAAGGGACTTCTAGAAGTTTAAACTCAATGTTTTAAGCATGATTCTGTACCATAATACCTAAATGCTATCAAATTCCAACTACTTTTTAAGACCTGATATCAATCCCATTTGTGTTCTCCAATCTTAGGTCTGTCTCTTAGGTTTTATGATTCATCTGTGCAAAATTTCATTAAGATATTTACCTAAAAGTGGAATTTGTGGGCTGCAAGATGAGTGCATGACCAGCTTTGCTGGATAATATCAAATGTACCAACTTACATTGTACCAGCAGTAAATGAAAGTTGCCTGGGGCTGGGTGGTGATGCAGTGCTAATGCAACTGGACCTGTACAGGAAAGGTCTTGAGTTCATGTCCCAAGACCTCCCTCAACATGACAGGTGCTTGCACATGCTTGTGATCAAACTAAGAACAAACTAAGACTGGAAGTAGACAGTAGCATAAATCCCTTGTTGAGAGGACCTGTCTTTCTCTGTGTGCCTCTACCGTGGAAGAAATAAGCTAAAAGAGAGAGATGGAGAAAGACTATCAGCCTGACAGCCTAGTAGTTAAGAGAGCCAGACTCCACATGGACAACTGGTAGCTTGGAAACACACTGGGCATGAGTGCCTGCTCCACCCTGATATGATGGAGAAATGGAGAAGTGGTTCCAGCATGAACATGCCTCTCTCTCTTTCTCATGAGTACATACACCCTCTGGCAATTAAAAAAAAAAAAGGAGAGTTCCCTTCACTTGTTGCCCTTACTAATATTTAATATTATCAGACTTTACAAATTTTTGGATTCTGGAGCATGAGTTATGAAAGGGTCTTTTTTCTAATAATAATCAACACTAATGTTTTCAATGAACATGTCTAAAGGGAAATATCCCCAATTTATTATCACAATTATTTCATTAGTGTGATATTGTGTTTGTAGTGCTCTCCTACCCCCAACTGCTTTGGTCAGGAATTGAGCCACAGACTAACTGGAACAGATCACTATCCTTCATTACCAATTTGAATTATACATCACAACAGCTACCTGTGTCAGTTTTTAGAGTTCAAATACTTGAATCCTTGAAGTACATGATTTATTTAAATTATTTCGCCTCAGTTAAGTCTATAAATTATAAAAATATATATCATCCCATCTTGTTTTTCTAGAATGTAAAAAAATTATCTAAGAGCCCAGAATCCAGGCTCTTTTCTCCTGAAGAGTTCTTTGGAATTTTTAATAGATCCATCGATGCCTTCAAGAACTTTGTGGTCACATCTGAAACTAGAGATTGTGTGATTTCTTCAACATTAAGTCCTGAGAAAGGTAAGACATCTAGGCATTCCCAATTTAAATGTAAATAGGAAGCTTGAATCTCATATATGTAGGCAAGAATCTACCTCTGAGTCAAATATAGCTATAGAAAGATTTGTGTGCATGTTTAATAAAAAGGCAAACACCAATGCCACAAAACCAGCTAATAATTGTGGATTTGTTGGTTTCTGAGCCAAAATAATACTTGACATTTTTTAAATCAAAAACATGTGTGAGTAAATAGTATATGAGATGATCACTCTTCTTTTATCTGATATTTTGTAGTAATGTGAAATTATTATATTCTTTTCCTCCAGTCTTCTTTGAATTTTCCTTAAGCATCTATCTCTGAGTTATGAATTCTGATCCTCAACAGTTACTCTGTACTGAGATTCTTTTTCCCCACTGAGTCTCTTTAACAAAAAATTTAATTTCGTTTCTTTCTTTTTTTTTTTATTTTTAATGGCACATTACATACAAGTTGTCATTATTCACATTGGTTAGCACATGTATGAACTGTGGTGAATTCTGTAATCATCCACAATAGCAGTACTGAGAATGAAATAAAGATCTGAATAATCTAGACTTGGGGAGCAGACCTGATGAGTTTTCTGGTTTTACACTTCACCTTTTGGGGACTCTGTAATTCATGTAAATTACCATATAACACTGACACATTATTGCTTTCTATTTAGATTCCAGAGTCAGTGTCACAAAACCATTTATGTTACCCCCTGTTGCAGCCAGCTCCCTTAGGAATGACAGCAGTAGCAGTAATAGTAAGTACACGTATCTGACTTAATGCATGCATGGCTCCAGTTAGAATCTATGGGAGTATTGCATGGGCTTTCATGGAAATTTCTACAGTTACTACTATTCCTACTGTTCTGTTACTGTTATTCCTCTTAAAATCATCCTGAGAATTAAATATTAGGTCTGTAGAATCGGGTCTCCCTAGAGCTTGATATATTGGTTAAAAAGTAAGGCCAATACATTTTCTGTTTAGAATTTAGAAATATGGTTTAGACTTTTTTCATTGTAAACTAAAATAGTTTTGTATGGAATGTGTATGACAAGAATAAAATTTTGAAATTGAAAGTACGAATGCTGGTTGTGTAGAAATTCAGTGAAATTCTCAGTTTTGTGTCTATCGGTATTTACTATTATGTGTTGGATTTTTTTTTTTTTAAATTTGCCAGAAGACACATGTGCTTGCCAGGGAGAAGGACAGAATGAAAAAGAGTGGAAGAAAGCTTTCCACCAGTGGGGCATGGTCATGCTGCAAGCCTTTCTCTATTTTTCCCTCATTTTGAGAGTTTAGGAACCCATGCTCATGTACTCAGCATGTTTTCCAAGGCACTGGAGCCTGGATTTGAACTATTCAATTTGCCATGTGGAATCAGCTTCCTTAACCATCATGTGTTTAGAAATTTGATGATTTTGTTATTTTACTATAAAATTATATGTAAGAGGAAATTTTGCTTCTTTCTCTGAAAATTTTGCCTTCTTTTGTCAAGAACCCAATTCCCTGAAAGACTACATCCTCTTCAGTCCAGGCAAAGGTCATTATAAAGGTTACTGGATTTATTAAATACTCTTGAGACTCATGGAAGCTATAGGAAGCAAAAAAACCGTCTTTTGGTCTTAACTATAAAAGTCATCCCTTGGAACAGGAGGTGCCTTGGTGGTTTTGAGTCCCAGACTCAGTGGCTTGAAAAACACACCAGGATGAGTGTGTGCACATCCGCAATCCTGAGAAGAAACTGGAGGAGAAGGGATTGTGGTGTGGCCATACCCTCTGCAGGGGTGATTTCTCATTTTTCCTCTCTGTCTTTCTCAGGAGGGCACATGCAGTCTATAACAAAAATCTATAAAACAAACAAACAAATAAATAAATAAAAAGATCCCTTAAGACTTATAAATGGAACACTGTCATTTGTTCAAGAACATAAAATATTTAATTGTAAAAAGAAGTAAATAATTTATTGTAACTCTATAATAGCTTATCTACAATTCAGGAATTTTAAGAAAAGACTCTAAAATACATTGATTTTGGAATTTTTGCCACTAAAACCTCACTACCTGACCTTAAATGAGATAATCTGTTTATTAGTCTTTATTTGTGCTTCTAAAAGTGAATATTTACATGCTTCTTTACAGAAATATTAGTATGTTTGATAACAGGATGCTATCCAGAACTCACTGCAGAGAATAGATAACATGTAAAATTTGCAGGATGTAATCTTCAAAAATCTAATATTCTGACTTACATATCATTTCTTTGATTTCTTTATATTTATTTTGGGTGTAGTTTACTCAACTTATTCTAGTATCTTAAATTGAAAAATCAGATCACTGATTCTTAATTTTTTTTTTTTTTTGAGAGGTTTTTGCTATAGGGTGCATGTGCTTGCCACAAAGTCAGAGAGACAGAGAGACAGAAAGCAAGAAATCACCCCCCAGGGGGGATGGCCACACTACAATCTCTTCTCCTCCATTCTCCTCTTGGGATCTTGGGCATGCATGCACACACGCCCGGCATGAGTTTAAGCCACCGGGTCTGGGACTAGAACCACAGTCGACTACATGGGAGTAGAGGGACATAGCCGTTACACCAACTGCTGGTCCCAAACTTTTTTTTTAACTATAAGCAGTTAAAGGCATAAACTGTTGTGTAAGTACTGCTGTAGCTACATCCCACATATTTTTATATGTTGTAATTTCATTACCATTTTTTTCCCAAAATATTTTAAGAATTTCCTTCTGATTTCTTTTTTGATTCATGGGTAATTTACAAGTGGACTGTTCATGTTTAATTACCTTATTGCTATGGTTTCTAAATGAATTCTATTATCATCAAAAGATATATACTCTGTAACCTTTTGAATTTATTGAGACTTAGTTTATGTATATTATTTAATATCTGGTTGTAGATTTTCAAATTTGGCTAAAGTGGTTAATATTGCTCATGTCTTGCATTTCTTTTTTAATTACTTGTCTAATTTTTTTTATCAATCACTGAGAAAAGAGAATTAAAAATATTTCCTTTCAGTTCTAAGCTTTTACTTCATTTATTTTAAAGCTCTCAGGTTATGAGCTTATACATGTGTTGATAGGTCTTCCTCAATTTCCGTAATTAATAGACCTTTTACTCTTGCTGAAATATCCCTCATTGTCTCTGGTAATGTCTTTGCCATGAACTGTATTTTGTCTGATATTAGTGGACTCAATCTTTTTTATAATTTTTTTTTAGTGCTATCCTCTTTTTCTTTTCTTTATTTTCAAGGTATTTTATTTTTAAAACACCTCTGATAGACAGCCTATAATTGAACTTAACTACGTGTGTATGTAAATATGAGACATATCCATCTGTTTATAAAAATATATATTATACCTACATATATTATAAACAATACATATATGTATTATATATACATTTATTATAAGCAATACAATATTAAAATTATTGCTTTAAACTGTCATATGTCTTTTAAAGAATGCAAAAGAAGAAAAATATGTGGTATTTTATATTTACTCATGTATTTATTATTTCCCATACCCATTATTCCCTCTTGTAAATTCAGATTTCCATCTGGTATTAATTGCTCTCATGCTGAAAAACTTCCTTTAGTATTTCTTATAGCACAGATATGTTGGCAACAAGTTCTCTTCTCCTTCTTCTTTTTCCTTTTTCCATCTTCTTCTTCATTTGCCAGTGGACATGCATGTTCATTGAAGAGGATGAGACAGAGAGAGAAAGGGAAAGTGAGAAGAAGTCCCCTCTTGGGGGATGGTCACACCACAATCCCTTCTCTCTCTTTCGCTCTTTTCCAGGATTTCAGGCATGCATGTACATGCACCTGATGTGTTTTTCAAGCTACCTGGTCAGGATAGAACTCTACAGTCAGCCAGCCATCTTAACCACATCACCAGCTGGCCCTTCTATTTTGTTTTATTAAAAAGTCTATTTTGTCTTCCATGTAGCAGGTACTTTTTACAAGATGTTGAATTCTGGGTTAATAGGGTGTTTCTCTTTGAGTACTTAAAGATATCATTCTTGGTCAGCCCATGACTGGTGGTTAGGTTGGCTGGATCTCTACGTTGCTGGCCCAGTGGCTGGAGCCCCAGACTGGTGGCTTGAAAAACATGATGGAAGCATGTGTGTCCATGCCCAAAATCCTGAGAAAAAGGAGAAATGGAGGAAAAGGGATTACAGTTTGACCATATTCTATGAGGATGCTTTCTCACTCCTTCTCTCTCTGTCTCTCTCTGGGGGCCCATGTGCCCACTGGCAATTAAAAAAAAAATGTCATTCCATTGTCCTCCTGTGGCTATTATTTCTGAAAAAGAGGCAGCCATCATTTGTACCATGTTTTTCCCTGTATGTACTGGGTCATTTGTACCTCTGCCTTCTTTCAAAATTTTCTCTCAGCAGTTTAACTAGGATATGCCTCTGAGTGATTTTCTTTGTATTTATGTTTCTTGGCATTTGTCAAGCTTCACAGGTCTGTAGGTTTGTTTTCCCCAAATTTAGGGGAAATTTGGTTTTACATTTTTCAATTTTTTTTTTCTATTCTTTCTACTTCCTTCTAGGATACCAATCACACACATTTTAAGCAGTTGGATATTATGTATTAGGTCAAAGAAGTTTTGTTATTTTTTTAATCCTTTTTTTTCTCTCTGATACTCTGAATGGGTAATTTTTACTTATCAGTTTTAAGTTTACTGGCCATTCCTCCTGACATGGCTAATCTGCTGAGTTTTTCATCTAGTGAAATTTTTCATTTCTAAATTTGTATTTTTGTGTTCTAGAATTTCCATTTGATTATTTTATATTAATATTTTATATTTCTATGTTGAGAATTTTCCATCTGCATATTTATTCTGACAATTTTTTTGTCTTTTAAACATAATCATAATAGTTGCTCTAAAGTTCTTGTCTCCTAATTTTAACACATCGGTCATCATGTCAAGGTTTGTTTCCATTCATTTTTTTTTTTCCCTCTGATTGTGGATCAAAATTTCACTTTAATGGCTAGACATTCTTGAATATATGCTAGATGTTATGGATACCATGTTGTTTAGTTTCTTCCAGATTTTATATTATGTATTTGTGCTGCTCATTGGCTGATTTCTAAAAATACTTACAACATATAATTTGTCCAGACTTACAACTATTTAAGTTAGTAACTAGGTTAGTCTGCTACCATCACAGTTGAGAAAAATGTCTCTTCTACCAACTTTCACCAGCTAGTAGATAGACACTGCCACTCTGCAGGCCAAGGCCCCATGGGAAGTCCAGTTCAATTCTAGGCCCACCCTAAATGACAGGTGGCAAATGTCCATAATTCTCGCAACTCAGGAGGCTGAGGGAGGATGGCCATGAAATAGTGAGACCTTGTCTTATTAAAAAAAAAAAAAAAAAAAAAAGAAAGAAAGAAAAAAATAAAAATAAGCTAGTTCAATTCTGTGCCTCAGAATCTGAAGGTATGTGTTAAATTATCAGACAAATGGACAGTCTTCTTTTTCTTATTTTGCTTTATTTATTCTTCTTTTAAAAAATATAGTTTGCATTACCAGCATCTTTTGGCTAAGTGAAGTCATTTATAAATATGCCACTTTGATACCTGTGAGCAAGACAAGCTTTCATTGCACTTAGGTACTAAAATAAATAGATGAGAATAAAATAATCATAACACAGTATTAATATGTATAATTATAGAATTATGTTTTCAGTTTTAGCATACAGGAAATAGGACTGTATTTTGAGAGGAGGGCCAGGGAAATTTGAAGAGATGATGCTAGTTTTCAGGGACACAACTCAAATGCTCATCATTGCAGAGGACCAGGGTACAAAGGTGTATTCCGGAGATGTGAGTGTCTAAGGGAAAGGGGGTAATATACAAACCTACTAGTTATCCAAAATAAATTATGTTTACAAATTAGCAATATCCTTATGCTAAGCTAAGAAGTTGTCTAAAAGATGTTTATGTTTGAGATCCTTGTAGGCAGTACTTAAATGATATAGAAAGAGATCCTTATATTGACATATTACCTTACACATCTAGAAAAGACATTCTTAAGTCAGACTGTCTAGACTTACTAGCCCTAGCCCTTGGTTAGCTGTGGGACCCAGGACAAGTTACTTCAACTCTGTTCATTCTTCAGTCAAATGGAGTGAGAATACCTCCTTCACAGGGTTTCTATGAGTTTTAAAAGAGGCAACACATATGTGCTTGCAGGTGTGCCTGAAGCCTAATACAAGTTCATTATTAACTGTTAGGCAATTAGATGTAATCAAACTATGGATCAGAAGTTGTGAATCTAAGGTGAGCTCTGGATCGGCATCAAGGAAGAGTACCAATCTTCCTGTTTCCTAGGCAACAAGACACCCTTGTTCATAGGCATGGTGCTCCTAAGCAGGCTGACACTAAAAAGTTGTACTACAAATTTTTATAGATGTCAGTTATTATTAGTGAAACCAAATAAGTCAAATCCCAAAAATATGGACAGTAGACAGTGTTAGTAATAATAATGAGATACAGTTCATTGGTAATAACCCAGGAATTTGGGATTACTCAAATCCTGTCTTAACTTTCACTCCCCCACAAAGTCTCTGCAGGTGATTTTTGCCTATAAGAAAATCAAGGAACCAGCAGTTGGCATTACGGCTATGTCACTGGACTCCCACAGAGTTGACTGCAGTTTGAGTCCCCGGACTCGGTGGCTTAAACTCACGCCGGGCACATGTGCATGTGTGCCCAAGATCCCGAGAGGAGAATGGAAGAGGAGGGATTACGGGGTGGCCATCCCCCCTGGGGGGTGATTTCTTGCTTTGTCTCTCTGCCTCTCTCTATCTCTGGTGAGCATACACTCCCTATAGCAAAAACCTCTCAAAAAAAAAAAAAAAGAAAAGAAAAAACAGAAAATCTTTGTTATTGGTTTGGACTTTGAGAACCAAGTATCCTGCAGTACTCCTTGAAACATAGAATTTAAACTTCACTGATTCCTAGTGTTCAGCTATAGTGGCAAGTATTGAATGTTCCCTGAAGGTAAACAGGGTAATACAACATAATAATGTTTTTTAATTCCTCTTCTAGAAGGACAGTAGTATCCCTGGAGAATCAAAGACCTCGCTCTTAAGTCCTATGCACAGACAAGAGAAATAACAAAAGGGAGGTTAAATTTAGGTTCACTTTAGGAAGGGAAGCTCAGGATCTGTAAGACCTCTCCCTCCCAGTCTTCTCTGTTCCCTTCCTCTTACTCTTCCTCCTGCAAGAGGATTGCTGCTGCCTCTTATATTCTAGGACTTCACATTGGTCATAGTTCTAAGTGTGTATTTTAGTCCATTCTCTGTTGCTAATAACAGAAATACCTAAACATGGGAGGACTACAAAGAATACAGGTCTATTTAAGCTCGCAGTTTCTCCAAACATAGGTGAATGCGTACAGACCTTTATGTATTAATTAGGTCATCGGGAATGTCATGATGTATTTTTTTAATGCAAAATGTGTCACGGTTTTCCCAATGACCCAATAGGTTATATGTCTTTTTGGAAAATATCTAGTGGGAGATGTTAAAAGTGAGAAAGTGAAATGATACTTGAAGATAAAGGCAAACGAGACAGGCTTGCTTGATAGGATAAACAATACCTGCCTCAGTCCCAGAAATACATCAAGTCTGTGTTCTATATGCATCAACATTAACCAAATCAAATTTTGTTTTGTTTTTGGGGGTCCTTGGTTTTTTAAATGTATTCATCTTTTTTTTTTAAAGAGTGATTTTTGCTATAGGGCACATGTGCTCACTGGAGAGACAGAGAGAGACAATGAGACAGAGAGAAATCACCCCCCGCCCCCAGGGGGGAAGGCCATGATGTAATCCCTCCAGTATCCTCTCTGGATGTTGGGCTCACCCACATATGCACCTGGAGTGAGTTTGAAGCCACTGAGTCTGGGACTTAAACCACAGTCCAGCAACATAACCATTATGCCAGCTGCTGGTCCCCTTCTTCATCTTTTTTTTTTTTTTTTTTTGAGAGATTTTCACTGTAGGGCGTGGGGCGTCGCTCGCCAGACAGACAGAGAGAGACATAGAGACAGAAAGCGAGAAATCACCCCCCAGGGGGGATGGTCACGCCGCAATCCCTTCTCCTCCATTCTCCTCTCGGGATCTTGGGCACGCACGCACATGCGCCCGGCGTGAGTTTTAAGCCACCGGGTCTGGGACACGAATCGTGGTCGACTACGTGGGAGTCCAGCGACATAGCCATTACGCTAACTGCTGGTTCCCCCCTTCTTCATCTTTTGAAGTCTACATAGACTTACACTTTCTTCTAAAAAGAGTACTCAACCAAAAAAAAAAAAAAATCGGTGTTTTGAATACTCTAAACAGATACAGGTCAAAAGTACATTGAAAACAGCTGGGAATAACAACAGCCTAAGAGCAAAACCACTCGATGGGTCTGCTGCATTCACCGTTCTGCTTTATAAATTACAGGAAAAGCCGCAAATTCCACTGAAGACTCCAACCTGCAATGGGCAGCCATGGCACTGCCAGCATTCCTCTCTCTAGTAATTGGTTTTGGTTTTGGAGCCTTATACTGGAAGGTAAGTTCTTTGTTGGTGGTGGTTATTGTTCCTCTTGATCAAACTTATTTATTCATACTATATTTATATAAATGATTAACCAACTTCTCTTTTCTGAAAAAGGACCCTATCAAGAAAAACAGTGGATCGTAGGTTAACTTATAGTCTCAACAACATTTACATTTTAGGAAAGTCCCCATTCCTCATTATCCTTTAGAGACAATCCTTCTCATGAGAATGCACACTACTTAAAGAATGAAAACTCATTTTAAGCGCCTGAATTAAATATAAAAAGAAAAAAAAAACATGCTGAAAATCTTATGATGTATGCTTAAAAGTCAACGAGAAATACCCTTTGTATTACTGTTATTTTGAATTTCTAGTCCTCTGTGCTTTTCTTATTGAAGCTGTCTTAAATTTTAAAATGTGCTAAATCATCATGACTAAACTTTTTGAAATGTCTTCTGAACTTGATTACTATTTAAATGTGTCAGTTTCTTTATTCCTTTTCCCACTCTCGGCATCCTAAAAATGTGAAATTTGTAACATCCTGCATTTTTTGGTAATATTTTCCACTACAAATATTTTTTGCATGCTACTTGCTGAGGAAAACTATTATTGAAGTTACTGACATAGAACATAAAAGTAGAGACCACTTACTCTGAAATATTATAGCACTCATTGATATTTTTACAATATATGTCACTGTTCTTTTCCCAGAAGAAACAACCAAATCTTACAAGGGCAGTTGAAAATATACAGATTAATGAAGAGGATAATGAGATAAGGTATTTTGTTTTGCTCATGTGTGCATAAACAAGCTTTGACTTTGCCATTTCACATACAGTGCACTGACATACATGGTCATAATGTCTTTATGAAGTTGCTTCTCTTACGATGGTTTCTAACCAGTATGTCCCAAATCTTTATCCATGTAGCTGATCTATTTTAGTCCACTATGTTGCTAATAACTGAAATACCTGAAACTGGGTGACTTATAAAGAATAGAGATTTATTTAGCTAATGGTTTTGGAGGTCTAAAGTCAGGGACTGCATCTGGTGAGGGTCTTCATATTGTAGAATCCCAAGGAGGCACAAGCCATTACATGGCAAGGACAGGAGTGTTGCGAGAGCATATGTATCTGTTTTGTGTCTCCACTTACATGAAAGAGTATCTAACTACCCTGATCCTCATCTCCTCCCAAAGGCCCCCCCTTCTCAACCCCATAGCTGGATTAAGTTTCTATCTTCTTAATCCTTTTATAGTGGCTATTAATTTTCAACACATGACTCTTGAGAGACACATTGAAACCATAGTGTGTCCTTACTTCTCACTCTTTTCAATCTTACATCTTTATTTATCCATTGATACCTTCACATAAATGTCTCTAAAGGCACACTTACTTATTCACTTTCTTTTCTACAATATTTTCACTTTATTCTTTAAGTTCATTCTTTGGTAATATTCATCTTTGTCTATGTCTTTATTACCTGCTGGCCAGAGTTGATGCTACAAAATCTTTTCTTTAGCCCTTCAAAACTCAGAATTTGTAACATCTCTCCTTAAATCTTGTTTCATAATGTCACTTTCTACTCAAGATACATTCAGTGATTTTTCTCTTGTATGCATAACTTTTCTCATCAGATTCCATAATTTCCCCAAAGCCAAATACAAAAATTGTTATGAGCTGGCTTTCCATTTACTGTAGGTAAACTCTGATTACACTTTTACCTTATACTTATTGTCTTAATGCTAATATTTTCACTTATATATGATTATAATTTTTTGGCATGTTATCTTTCTATGTCCTGCCTATGTATGTAATACATGCATACGAAGTGCACATAAGCTTTTTTAGTTTGTAGATATAATTATATAGAGAGGATTTTACTAAACTACTTGGGAAAACTACGTTGAGGAAGATTTCTCTTTTCCCCATAGCAATATAAAGGTTAAGTTTCCCTTTCAGCATTGCAATCTTGTGTTACTATATTTACAGAAAAACTGCCTTTTACAATGTGCAGATTGCAGTGTACTTCAGAATCTCTGTTCAAAAGCATATAAGCATTTTTCTTTTCTTTTCAGTATGTTGCAAGAAAAAGAGAGAGAATTTCAAGAGGTGTAACTGTGGTTTGTATCAACACTGTTACTTTCACACATTGGTAAGTACTTAGAATTCAAGCTGAAATATTTAGCAAGAACTATACAGTATCTTAGATGCCAAAATTTAGAAATAAATCTTGTAACTGAGTCTTTTATCAAGCAGATGTCAGTACTGAAGTTGTCACATTATTGCATTGTACATATCTAATTCCTTTAATATACTAAAGTTGTGAAAGCTAAAGAAGAATTAGCCCTGATTAGTGTTTTTTATAATGTATGGCAGATGTACAAAAAACAAACAGTTGGGTGTTTATTTGGACTATTTTTGAGGTTAGAAAATAAGTTAGACAAGGAGCGATAATAGAGGAAATTAGCATTAAATAAGATATAATTATAGAGAAAACATAAATAAAAACGGTTTCATTTAGGTATGACCACCATAAAATAACATACACCATTTGTTAGAAACTAAAACAAGAGAAAGCCAAAAATATTTCCTGTTTTAAAGAAAAGGAGAAAAAGTCGAAATAACCTATGATCTGTCAGACAAAATGATCAAAGTAGCCACCTGTTGCATGACTGTTAATAATTATGCCTCATCACAGCCCAGATCCCAGGATACATCGAATACAAGCCAGTGTCTGATATCTGTTGTGATGATGTGGGTCTCTGGAGGGACTGTGGGAGAAAGGATAATAAGTGGCCAGACTGATGTTCATTTTTTCCTGTCCACTGTGTCTACTTCATCTATTCTTAAGCTACAGACATGGTTGGGAAGATATCCAGAATGGCATTAACTTGATCCAGTGTCAATTCATACTTTCCTTCACTTTCGCTTCTGCTAACAGGCCGTTCATTTTGTTTTAATCCTGGAATCCTGAGTGCATTTGCCACAGTGGCATATGAATGTTCTGTCCTTTTCCTAAATCCTTAGTTTTTCCATGCACTCCCTTTATCAGGAGATCATCTACTTTTACAGGTTATTACTGATACAGCCCGTGAAGAGTCCTTTTCCTAAATCACAGTCCAGCCAGTTTTGACTTCTGTCCCAGATTTAGAGAATAATTTCTAGACTGATCTTTCCCAGGTAAGCTGGGTCACAGAGTCTCTTGCATCCTCTAGGAGCTCACTTTTTTAAAAGGTCATTTTTTAGCAACCCAGTATGATATAACTATGTAGCAAATTTCTCTAAAACTTGAATCTTGTTATGCCACAGGCTTTCAATCTTGCCTGATCACCATATCCAAAGCATAAATAGCATCTTCTCTTTTTTCTGCATCCTAGCTTCTTTCTAGGTTCACTTTTTCCCTTTCAAATAGCATAAAATGGGTAGACCCCTTATTTTACCATTTTATCTTCCCCAGCCGAAATTACTATTTTTCCTAGACACTCATTTTTCTGCACTTCTATACCAACACAAACCTCACATTTTTTTTCCCTGCCATTTTAGTCCTGTTAAGCTAGACATACACAAATCACACGTTAAATGGTTAATTGTGTTTTAAAAAGTCAAGAGATGTTCTCTGTTGTCCTGTTTTGGCCCAGAGGTATTTAATTGTTTGGTTTTGATTGTGGCATTTGTCCTATGATGTTTGGAAAGTGGATTATTGAGGGAAAATCCAGGCCATTTGTTTAGGAGAGAAAAAGATGGCATTTTAAACCAAACATAGTCAACTTATGCATATATCTACTACAAGAACTGGAGCTGAGTCTATGCGATTCTTGCTGTATCTCCAGCACATAACATGTTATTTTGCTTTGTAAGCTCCTAATAAATGTTTGCTGAATGAAAGACTGAGTGCATGAATGAGCCCAAAGTTAAAGTCTAATTTAGTGGCAAGGAAGATAGTTCTTCTAAAGTAAGGTTTGTGTGTATGTTTGTTTAATTTGTAAGGTGTGCACATCAAGGGGGAATGTAGTCATATGGGAAATCTTATGTGAATTTATTTTTCTTAAAGTATGACATATTACTCATGTATGAAATAAACCAAATTAGATAGTCAAGTTAAAGAAGCTAAGAATTATTCAGAAATAAAGTCATCACACTTACTCATTAGTCACTGTGAGACAGAATGAAGAAGTGAACAATTTTTCTTTCATAAAGTGCATTATTCATCATCTCTGCAAACCCTTCTCTAAATTCAGCTCAGATACCAGCACCTCCAAAAAACTGACTTCCAAAATGAAGGTAGTCTTTACTTAGCCCTTTGGTTACATTGCATATGACTCTTGGTAGCACATCACAATTACTTATGTAGACAATTTGTGTCCTTTTCAAAACCATGTAAGGTCTCAAAAAGCAGGATTCATTTTTCAGTTTAATTTCATAATCTATTAAGTTGTCAGGAAAATCAGTACGTACTTTTCTACACAAAAATGTGTCATGACTTTCCCAACAATCCAATATATGATCAAACTATGCCATCATGTATACTTGGCATATATAAATGGTGAATAAGCCTTATTAAATAAATGAAGAGATTGAAGTATATCTCGTGAAAGTGCAGTAATGTGAGAGTACAACTTATGGAGACAAAAGTAGAATTGAGTATATAGGAGTTAAATAAGAATTCAAATGCTGAAAGAAAAGTAAGAAAAAGGGAGGAAGCAGTTCTTTACTGCAAATCTGCAAACCCGAAAGTCAAAATGTGTATGTGTCTTTTTTTTTTTTTTTTGGTATGTGTTATTGGTAACCACTCATCAATGCCCCATTATAGGAGAAAGGCTTTAAGCTTTATTCTGTGCCAACAGAGATCCAAGCCTTCCAAGGAACCTATAAATTTAGTTTGGGGAGATGTATTGGGTAGATGGAAAAGTTTGGGAGAACAGACTATGGCCTAGTAGAAAGAGAAACTTTCCAAAAATTAATAACAATAGTAAAAAGTACCAAGATAGAAATAAGATGTGGAGTTGTTATTATGTATCCTAAAAATTATACATAATTGGATTATAATCATTTGCTTGTTTAACAAGACAGAGGAAAATGCAGTGAATGACTCATATTTATGGCAAGGATTTTGGGCCAAAATGGAAGTTTCACCAACTAAAACAATTTAAATCAAGACAAATATTGGAAAACAAGAATGGAAAACATGTGGAACAGTTAGCTCCCTGAAGGAAATAACAAAGGGAAGTAAAGAGGGTATAATATTTAAAGTATAAGGGAAGAACGTGGAAAGAATATAAGTAATGAGTTAAGAGAAGCAAGAAGTTGCATCCAAGAAAAAAGTACTGTATTTGTACTTACTTGACATCAAATATGAAAACATCTAAATGAAACATTAAAATCCACTTATTGGAACCAGCCGTTGGTGTAATGGCTATGTCGCTAGACTCCCATGTAGTCGTCCGTGGTTCGAGTCCCAGACCCTGTGACTTAAACTCACGCCAGGCACATGTGCATGCATGCCCAAGATCCTGAGAGGAGAAGGGATTACAGCATGGCCATTCCCACTGAGGGGGGGTGATTTCTCGCTTTCTATCTCTGTCTCTCTCTTTCTGGCGAGCAAAAACCTCTCCAAAAAAAATCCACTTATTAATTTAACTGATGCCAAGTATCAAATGTAGCCCCTTAACTAGAACTTTTCCTGTATTGGGTTATGCAAAGCACAGCTCAAGAGAAATACATAAAGAGATCAAATACATGAAGAGCTTCACTTATATTTATGAGAAAATTTTTCTTTTACACAGATGTGATTTAACAAACTCTAGTAAGTATATTAGTAGAGGCACAGCTTAATATAACCTGTGTCCTCAATTGCTTATAGTCTATAAGAGGAAAAAAGGCATATGCACAGTAACCAGTTTTTAAGAAGTATATTGGAAGTTTACAAAATATAAGAAGCAAGAAAAGGAGATTACAAAGAAAATGCAATGAACAATCGAAAGCAGAGCTACTGCTTATTGTCATTGTCATATAAGAAGTGAACGCAAAAAAAAAAAAAAAAATAAGTGAATGCCACACAGCTGTAGGTATTGGTGTGAATTGCATCCCTAAGAAGTACCATGCACATCCATATACAATTGCCTTATTAAAAGGGAAAAAGAATTCATTAGCAAACAGAGAAAGTTTTGTTTTGTAGGTGGTGGCATTTGTTCTAAACTAGATCTCTAATGCAAATGACATCAACTAAGTCAGGCAAGACCCAGAAGTACAAGGTATGTTCAAGGGTCAGTTTTTACAGAAAGACTTCCGTGGAAGTCATACTTAAAGAGTTAAAATGCTGAGAAGAAAGGGTGGGATCAGACTGATAAAGGTTTTGAATTCCAGGAACAGAGTTTATCCTTCACTGGGCAATGTATGGATCAGCTTGGGGAGTTTAGAACAGATGAGGTGATGCAAACAATGCAAAGGTTTCGGAAAAGCAATCAGGTGTTGGTGTGGCCAGATGGATGGGAGTAAGGATCTGGAGGAAGGAAGTCCACCTAGGAGACAGTTTTCAAAGCAAGTGTGAGAGAACAATAACATGAACAAGGTCAGGGTAGGAAATGGGATAGCATTGATCATTTTGAAAATATTACAGTAAAAGAATCAACAAGTCCTATTCACTGATGGGATGAGTGGCTGGCATCACAGGCTGTACTCAAGGAGGATCTGGAGCCTATGGACCTACCAGTTGTCAGTACCATTAAAAGAAAATTGGAAATCAGGAGAAGGAGCTGTTGGTAAATATTGGTGGAACTAAATATTGGTGACCAAACATGTTAACCTGGGGCTTCAGAGAAAAGTCAGGGATGGAAATAATAGATTTTCAATCTGATAGTCACCAACAAAGAATTTTAATTGAGAGGACTCAATTGGAGTCCTTGAGAGAGGGACTGCTTTGTCACAGAGAAGGCCTAGCCTGGTTGATAGTAATTAGCATGGGATTGTAGACAATCAGTGAGCAGTTTAGTGACTTACCCCAGCATGGTAAGTGTAGAAAGTAATTCTTGTTGCTTGTGGACTCATAAAACAAACACAAACTGGACATAGATATGAGATAAATTAGACTGAAGAGATCTTACGATTAAAATAAGGAGAAGTATTGGACTTTGAGGACGCAGGCTTTGGGAATGGTTGGTCACTCAATGGCAAGATCTGTGACTCATTACCAAATATTTCCTAAGAATTGCTAGAGCTTTCTGAGTTTGTTTCTTCAATTTCTTTCTGTAGACACATTGTGAAGTACAGGATTAGAAGGAATTAGACTTTTGAGTTCAAGTCTTGGCTCTGTGACTTAACTAGCTCTGGAATCATGTATGATGAGTACATGTCTTTAAATCCCTGGTTTTTCATACACAATGAGAGGACAATAGCACTCACCCTGTTTATTTCATGAGGCTGTTTCAATAATCCAAGGTATCATTATAAAAAAAATGTAGTTTTGTTCTTCAAGTTTATCTTCTTTGCTAAGTGACCCAGAGATAAAATTAGAAATAGATTTCCAGTCTTGCTTCCCTCCTGTAAATTTAGGATTTCAAATTATTCATAGCTTTTAAAAATACAGTCTTTTGCCTTTTGTGTTTTCCTTTTGTTTTTCTAACCATGCTTTATTTAAAAATATCTTCCATATATTTTGGGATTCTAAAGACTTTCCATTTTTCTTCATGAATTTAATTTGGCTTTCCTAAATACAGCTTTGTATTTTCAAGAGTTCTCTGTTTGGTAAATTGTCACATAACACAATTTAAATATATGAAAGAGACTGGAAAATATACTAACTCACATTATGAAGTTTTACATATAATCTGTGTAATGACCACAATGTTTTAAAACCAGTGTTCTGTGATTCTGGGGTTGATAAACAAAGACAAAGGTAGAAAAAGAGTTAGGAAGAAGGAAAATGCAAAACATACCTGTATTCAGGGGCTGTGACTGAAGACAGAATGAAGATATTGTCTACCACTTAAATAGAGGAGCAAGTACAAACACTTTACTGAAAGGTTGAAAAATCTGGACGATCAGTAGGTTAGCATCAGCACTGAACTAAAACTAAGTATGGTTTTCATGTTTCAGCAAGTACAATAAGCTGTGCTGAGGCCAAGTGAACCTCCCCAGAGGCCTTAGCAGGATGTAGTGCCAGAATTTTAGTCTTTCTTTTTTGGCTGAAAGTATTGAATGAGATCTTGCTGCTACTGTTTCCTCAACTGGGAGAAATGATTGCTAGAACCTGGAAAGGCAGTCAAGATACTCAAGCTGCCCAGTGACAATAAGGCTAATATTTGTTGCTGGCCTCCACAGCTTCTCCACCTTCCCAGGTTATTTCTTTCATGTCACTCCATCTATTTTATTTCTCCCTCTCCACTCTCTAAACATCACCCTCTCCTTCAACCCTTCTCACCTCACCACCAGTCTACTACTTTTGGTAGGCTTGCTAGAGAAGGTCAAAGCTAAATGGGTTGAAAACCCTCTCCTAAACTGAAATAACTGATAGAATGTATGGAGGTATGAAAGTTACAGAGTACTCACTCATGCACTCTTAGTTTCTAGAAATATTCATTGAATGTCTATAATGTGCCAGACACCATTCTAAGGGTGGAGCTTCAGCAGTAAAAAGTATAGACAGAACTCTCTGTTCTCATGGAGCTTATATAAGAGATAGAAAATAAACAGAAATATGTTTTCAGATAAATGTTTCCGGGGGGTCATATAAAGAGCAACTGATCACTGCATATTTATCAAGTTCTTTTAGGCCATGTGAGTAAAGTATATATTGTAAGTCTGTTATTCACCCTATTCTCTTATATGAATATAGCTAATAAGAATGAAAAGGAGGCAGAAGGCAGACATAGCATAATCTCTCTTTTTTCTTCCTCTCTAGGCTGGTAACAGTTCATGTTTGCTTCATAAATGAAGCAGCTTTAAACAAATTCATATTCTGTCTGGAGTGACAGACTGCATCTTTATCTGTTCTTGCTACCCATGACTTTTTATGGATGATTCAGAAATTGGAACAGAGTGTTTTACTGTGAAACTGGCACTGAATTAATCATCTATAAAGAAGAACTTGCATGGAACAGGACTCTATTTTAAGGACCTGGGGGACTTGTGGTCTCATTTAGAACTTGCAGCTGATGTTGGGAGTGAAAGCATGTGTCCTAGACTATACACCCATTTGCACAGTTCCAGAAGTGTCTACGTGCTGACAGACAAACCACATAGCTTTTATTCTTCAGTTACAATCTGCAGCCTATAGTAATCCTAGTCTCTGCAAGTAGATTTCAGCATGGATATTGGGGGTGATCATCTTTCTCAAAGGGATCTAAAAACTACAAAATTGAGAAAACAGACTCAGTAGCATCAGCCACTGCACAGTGTAGAAAGTAGTGGAAACTAAGTGACTGGACTCAGCAGCATGACAGCTTTATAGTTGCTGATTAAAAATAGGGGTCTGCTGTTGATCTCTGATTGACATAAACTGTGCTCACTCATGTCCTTCTGGACAGATGGACATGGTTGGCAGGTTCTGAATGTACAGGGGAGCCAGTACTGAATTGGAATGATGATGCCTTGGCAGAGGGAAAACTCTCTGAAATCAAAGTCATCACAAGAAAGAACCTACAAACACTGAACAGCAGTCTGCAGAGGAGGACATTTGGCATCCCTGGTGAACTTTGCCTTTTCCCTTGACCATTATAGAGTGTATAAATTGTGTTTGCAAAATATATCATGATGTGTATATCCTAAAACTATTACAGACTTATGGAAAGGGACTTAGAAAAATGCTGAATGTATGAAGGTCCCATTTTCAATTTCCACCATGGGAAAAAAATAAAAATAAATTATGTTATTTAGTATCTAAGCTTAGACCATCACACCCACATGCTCATATGGGTGCTGAAAACTAGGTTACTTGGCTTTTACAAGAATACAAGGAATCAGGAAACTCTAGTTATTTATAGTATAGCCACCATTATCTGTTTAAAGGAACCATTTATTTAAAATCAGACACTATATTCATTAAGGTTTATGAATTAAAAATTAAAAAGAAAGATTTATGTAGTTATGCATGACAGTTTGCTATTTAAAATGTGTGACAGCGTTTGTCATAAAAAGTGAATTTGGCAGCAATTCGTAAGGTGGACATTGTGCTTTTAAACTAGAACTTGTAAAACAGGTGGACATTGTGCTTTTAAACTAGAACTTGTAAGACATTTTAACTTTTCTTGCTGACTTTTTCTTTTTTACAGTCAAAAGAACATCTAACTAAAGTAAAAAAAATTGATATTTTATGGTTTATTTTGTTGAAGGTTCTTTTAATCTATCATGAACATACACATAAAGGAATTCAAAGCTTCCCATTCTAACTTAATTCTTGTGATAACTGTGCTTTTAAACTAGAACTTGTAAGACATTTTAACTTTTCTTGCTGACTTTTTCTTTTTTACAGTCAAAAGAACATCTAACTAAAGTAAAAAAAATTGATATTTTATGGTTTATTTTGTTGAAGGTTCTTTTAATCTATCATGAACATACACATAAAGGAATTCAAAGCTTCCCATTCTAACTTAATTCTTGTGATAACATTGCCATGTCCTACAACCATAAAGTGACTATTTTCAGTGTAGTGACAAAAGGGCATGAATAGCTAATTGCTAGCTTTCCTTTAATTTCAAAAGTTCAAAAATTCATAGTACAATTGAATTTTAGCTTATGTTCAAAGTGAATCCAAATACAATCCAGTAAGTGGCCTTTGCTCTTTTCTTACTCAAGAGCACAGATGATTTTTATGGTCTTCCCTTCCCTAAAGTGCAGTGGTTCCTCAAATACTAGTCATTTCTCCAAGATACAACCCAGGTGCTTTGGGAAGCTACATTAATTTGTTCAGGCCCTCAGATATACAATCAACTATCAAACCAGAGATCAGTTTAACTGCTGAAAGGACCTTTCTCAGTGTGTGTCATTGATTGTTTTGAGGAAAATAGACTAATATGTGTTATTTGTGTAGGTTATGTGAAGATTAAAAAGACTGGTACTTCTCAGTCTAATGGTTTGTTTAACTAATGGTTTCAATTTGCTTGGCCATATGAAAATCCTGTTTAATGAGCTTGAGAACACAATAAATATTCTTTTGTCTTCAAAACTAGTTGAATTTTTACATTCAAGGAGAAGGTCTCTATCAACAGAGTTAAATAAATAAAATTCAGCAAGTTAAGAAATCTGACATGATAGGGGAGGGAAGCTGTATCCTGCCTAGTAAATGTATTGGTTCAATAAGAGTTACATGGATTTCTAATTTTTAAAACACTAAAATTCAGTAAAGTGCATGAACAGTAGAAAAACGCTGAACATTATTTTGGATGCTAGCTGCTTAGACATTAACTGTGTCATATCTGCTTCAAGATTAAAAATACATATAT